GGCTATTGGCACAGAGAAACATGTACACTCACACACACACACGCACACACACACACACACACACACACACACACACATACCAAAGCGTTCTCTACGGAAAAACAAAACAAAAAACAACACAAAATAAGCAAAAAAATGAGAATCACACTCATCTCTTCTGCTTCTGTTTTCCGTTCTCATTTTTGTTTGCTTGCAAAAAATACAGATCCTAATATCCACGGTTCCAAAGCAAGCGCACGAAGAACAAATCAACATAAAAAAAACACGGAAAACGTAGCTCCAGAGACATTATGACGTGGAAAAACAAACAAAAGTCCTGAAACGTTTGTATTTCCAGAGGCGTCTTCGGTGTTGTGGCAGCCGTTATTGTCCAGCAAGACTTCATTCATCTCCACCAGCTCAATGACACCAAGCTTTTTGCTATTCATACTAAAGTCCTTGGATGCTGGGGTTTGTGTGTGTGTGTACGGCACACAAACACACACTCATATGTCCACATCCACAGGACAGAAACATGGCTTATGCAAAGCAGTATTTGAACCAAAAATTTCGGACCTGACACAAATCTGAAAGCTGAACAACAGAGAATGTACTGAATACCTACAGACAGTGGCAGAAAACGCACCACATTCCTTTGTAGCTTAACAGCAAAGTAACACTGGCATGACTGTGAAACTTGAAGAATCTTGACATGACACAACAAACACAAATGTTCTTTACTCACTGCAGTGTTACACCAGAAAAAAAATCCAGAGTACTCAAATCTGAACTGCATTTTTCACATCTGACATGTCTTATTTACGCTTTGAGTCTACTACACCAGCAATGTGGTGCAGTACCTAAATACTTATGTATTTCACTGTGCGTATGACTGTGTGTGCACTGTAAAAAAGATCTGTTTAACCCATTCATGTCCAACAGCTACATTTAGCGTGGTCAGGAAAAGTTGTTGTTCTGATTGGTTTGAAGGGATGAAATTGTGTTTATAATTGTGAATTAATTTGACAAATTACATTTTTTACACTTTTCTCACAACCAAATTTAGATTCACTATTGTCTTGTCAAAAATCAGTTGCCCCATGTGACCAAAATCCTGAATTTAATATGATAAATGAAGTGATTTATCCATATGGTTTGATCAATTTGTAAACTTTTTTTTTTGTAAAATTTTTCTAGGGCAAACTCAGAAAACATACAAACCAATGTAAATGTAACATTTCAGATATTAATGGGTTAAAAGTAAGTAACTGTGCTGCTTTAAATGTCTGAGCTCATTTGAACTTCTAATAGTAAGTTGCATTCTGTAAATGTCAAAGTGGATCAGAATTTATAATGCATTTTCCTTCCATACTGTGATGTGCTAATGAGTGAAACCGTATCAGTGAGGGTCTCTGAGCTAGCGGAACATTTTCACTAAATGACACAGCAGCCACAAAAAGTATTTGAACATTTTTGCCATACTTAAAAGAGTTCACTGTGTAAGAAACAACCTATCAAACCAAGTGGAATTTATTTTAAACAGATCATTCCAAGGCTGTAATTTTCTTTTTGGCTAAGTGTTCTTCAAAAAGACAGCTGGTGTTTCAGACTGTTATTGTTTAAGCAGTTTCTCTGCAGATTCTGCAGGTTTGGATCCAAAATACCTTTGTACACTTCTTCATGATCGCATCAATAAACTCAAGCTCAGCGACATCATAATGAGAAAAACAGCCCAAGACTTTGAGGTCTCCACCCCTGTGCTGTACAGTACTCTTAATGCAGTCTGGTTTGAATTCTTCTCCAAAGTTTTATTTTATAAAGTAATTTCATTTAAGTTGACCAGTGTCCAAATACTTTTAGTGGTGAATGTTATTGGCTAATATTGTTGGTTATATTGGTTGATATTCCCTATATCCTGCTGGTAGTGTAATCAAAAATAAATAAAAAAAAGTTTTCGAGCCGGCCAAAAGTCGCTACACTTTGATCAAGGATTATGTTAAAACAAGTATTTGTATTTTAAATGATATACAATGATTTGTACTAAATATGACCAGGGACATTAACTAACAAGGTAAGAAAGGTCCATTTTAATTTCACATTGACCTTAAAGACCTTCTTGGATGGCTTATTATGATTTTCCAGACTCAGTACATCAAAAAAGTGATTTGCTGGGTACTGTATAGCACAGTCCAATATACTTAACTATGCTAATGGGTGGAATATGACATGGTGAAAGGAAACTTGCATACAGTGCTGGTCACCAGCAAAACCAGCAAATGTTGTATTTTTGGATGATATTACGCTGGTCAACAGCAGGACTATGCTAGGTGGCCAGCTAAACCAAACCAGTGCTAGACCAGCATGGAATGCATGCTGGTCTGTGCTGTTTTTTCAGCAAGGGCAACTATGAATATGCCTGTGCTAAAGTAGCTTGTTTATAATGTTTGGACTGTGCAGTTAGCATTTAGCTAAAACAGACAAATTAAGTCAGATCACAGCAGTGTCAAATTTATATTCCACTTCTATCTTATGAAGTGTCAGATATGGTGTGAGTGGTCATAGTAGCAGGTAGCATGCTACTGCAGTACCTTAGCCTGCTACAGCTTCACACACCACAGCAAAGTTTCATTCCAGCCCACTGAAGCTTCAGTGACGCAAATTTAGAGAATAAAGATTTGAATCTGAGCGGGACTTAACACCACAGGTTAACATTTACTTAGCAACAAGGCTAAAACACAGTTTCACACACCAATAGTTTCACTGACGAACATTTGAGGCAAGTGTAGAGGACAAAGACTCTCAGTGAAATGAAACTGAGTGACTGGTGTGGCCAGAAATGATAAAAGTTAAAGTGTGAACTTGCTCTGCTCTGCTAAGTTGGTTCAAACAGAGAAGGTGTGCAGGGTAGTAAAGTTGAAAGGGGTGTGGTTTATAAAAGAAGAGACAAGGGGTGTGTTTACAATTTGCATAATCATGCATATTCATTTATCTTCACATTCTTAATGAGTGTTGAGGTTCAGGGATGTTCCTATGCCTTTTTAGCAGTTTATTGGGCATAATAATAATAATACATAAACGTATTTAACCATTAATTATTCAACACATTATTTTTTGTGGTTTGAATTATGACTTATGTTATTATTTGAAGTTCAATAAAAGCTCATTTTTAAGGCAGCAAAGTTCCTTACTTTATGTTACAACACCAAATCATTTTTACAGTGGGAGTGTGTGTGTGTGTGTGTGTGTGTGTGTGTGTGAGTGAGGCCTCCAGTCTCAACGCCACACACTGATTAGCTGTAACACAGGCAGTAGCATAGCTTGCCTTAACACACACTTTCTACCATCCGCACAGACAGCACACATACACAGCAATGTAAAAGAACACTTTTTGAAGAAATGAAACTCGTGTCGGCACAATCAAGGAAACACACGACTCTGTGTGTGTCCTCCAGTCCCAGAACTGCATGAGCGCAATCAGAACATGTGTGTCGATATGTGTGTGTGTGTATGAGACTCCAATCAGAATTCATTTGTTGAGGTAATCAGCATCCATGTGCTCAAGCAGAATGGCAGAATGGAGTCTGATTGTGCATTCTGTGTGTGTGTGTGTGTGTGTGTGTGTATGTGTGCGTGTGTGAATCTTGAAGGATGTATGTGTCTTTTCAAGTGCATTCTCATTTTCTGTGGCTGTAGAATGAAAGTGTGTATCTGCGGATATGTATGTGTGTGTGTTGTATTATACTAAGGCGTGTTGTGAGACACTGAAGGAATTTGAAATGAGTCTCAAATATTTCCGCCTCACTTCTCGAGAACTGAAAATAAAAAAAAAAGTGTGAGCGGCTGTATGAAAGACTATTTCTCTCCATCCGTCCGTCTGCGAGAGATTGAATCCCTTTCTTTTCTCCTCAGCAGCTTTCTGCGTGTGCGTGTGTGTAGTTGAGAACACCTCCGTGTCCGCTCGTTCCCCAGCACTGTTCCACACAGCCTCTTTCAAGAGTCTATTAAAAACCCTCCTTCGTTGCTCCATCGCTCTCTCTCTCACACATGGTCTCACTGTGTGTCTTTCCTCATCCCTTCATCCTCCTCTATCACGCCATCCTTCGAGGATCCTTCACTCACCCCCTACTTCTTTGTCTTCACCACGTTATTCCTTCTGTTTTTCAGCCTTCTATCCAGAAGGTTCTCATCCGTCTCTTTTCCTCCCACAGACAGCTCTAGTATTCTTTTCTTTTACCCCTCCCCACCACCACCCCCTCCATTTCTCCTCTCCTTTCTTTCTTTCTTCTTTGTAAAGAAAGAAGAAGGTGTCTTTGCACGTAAACAGACCTTTCTCTCGGATTGTTCCTCTACCTTAACACTTTCACAAACGAGGCCTAACTTCAAAACTACATCATAGTACAAGGAGCTATAAAAATACACATGGAGAGTGGAGACTCCTGGGAAATGGAGAATGAGTTAAGGGGTTGGGGAGAAAAAAAGAGAGCGAGAGAAAGAAAAAAAAAACGACCTCAGTTTGCGAAAGGAAATAATAATAATAATAACAAAAAAAGTATTAAATTAAATTACAATACAAAGGGACAGGGAAAACACAGGGTCAGCACTTTGCAAAGCCGAAGAAATGAAAAAGAGTATGATAATAACGAAAAAAGAAAAGAGCCTAGCAACAGAAATGTCATTTTACAATTGGAGGAAAGGAAAAGAAAACAAAAAGACATCTAAGAATTATTTTACTGAATATTCATATATAATTATAATCTATAAGTGATCAAAGCAGTTAAAAAAACTTTTTTTTTGATATTCGCTCACTTTTTGTGTTTTGGTTTTTTGAAACAGTCTAACAAACAAACACGCTCACATTCATTCGAGTACAGTGCTCTCTCACCGACACGCACGCACAGAAACACACCGCCACTGAAGCACACGATATGCGCACGCACCTCTGTGCGACAGCAGTGTCATAATTATTAACCTACACACTCACAAAAGTACGCACGTTATTAAAATATACAAGATTTTCAATGCCGCTACGACTCCTCCAATCAAACGCAGGGCCCGTGGTCATGTTAGGTCAGCGCTGCGCTTCGACCGGCTCAGCCCTGGGACCGCCCCTTTATCAGAGGAGTAACAAACACAAACGAACAAACTAAACTGCTAGCTTTGAGTTATTGTAGCGCAAGTTCACGTAACATCAGAGTGGTTGAGAGTTCACTTTCAGTCCTTTTGTTTCAGAGTTCATGTTCTGGCAACATTTCTAAGAGGCTCCTCGGGCGGCAGAGCCTTTTTCCATTTTACCGCTCCGAGATCAACTTTAGGAAAGCTTTATATTCGCTCCGATAGCTGAGGGAGCGAGAAGCTTTCAAATGAAGTCCTTTCAATGCGCACGCCTCATTTATCACAGAAGTCAGTGATTTAGGGCGAGCGTGTCTAGGCGCATATATGAGTGTGTGTGTGTATATGTGTATATGTGCACGGTCAAAAGGCTTGAGAGCAGCCCAGCCGCAGCTGGACTGCAGAAGAGGGGGGGAAATCGGTTCATACTGTTATGGTTTAGGTAGGAGGCGAGATTGGCATGGTGTAGGTTTTTTAAATTGTAGGCTGGCAGTCAAGGCGTCCCACGTCCTCATACTTTGTAGTAGATGTTGGCGGGGCTCTGGGGGGGCATCTCCTGGACGATGTAGACAGGATGACCGTAGTCTCCGCTCACCTTCTCATAGTGTGGGCAGTAGGCCGAGTCGGAAGTCCGCAGCGGGATGATGATGTCGCTGGGCTCCGAGCCGTTGTTGTTCCCGCCACCGCCCCCGCCGCCACCCCGCTTGGGTGAAGTGAGAGAGGAGAGAGAGAGCGGAGGGTGGTGGGACTCGGAGTGTTTGGAGTGTCTCCGCCGGTAACACACCACGCAGATGACGGCGGTGACCAGCAGGAGGAAGGCGGAGCCTCCAGCCGCGCCAGCGATCACCGCGATGTTGGAGGCCGGGAGGGGGCCGTTCTCTCTGTCTGCTGGAGCTCCGCCTGTGCCGGGAACTCTGGGAAATGTAGTGTTTCCAGAGGCACCTGAGGAATCAGAAGATTTCTAATTAGAAAAAAAAAGTATCTTCATTTTAATGTATAAATACCTTTATTTAAATATATAAATATATATTTATGCATGAATAACATTCATGTAGCATTCATACATTTGAACAGTCTATGCATTTATAGAAGTGAAGACTCCCTTGTCATGTTCATAATCTGTTCATCATTCTTCATATATCCAAAATATCTCAACTCTTTACATCATTTGAAAAATATGAAGTATCACAGAATCATTTTACGCGTATACATTTTATCATATTGAAAACAGCAATTTCAAACTTCTCAATGCGACTTTTGATCAGTGTAGCATAAATATAAGTAAATATGCCTTTATAAATATTAATATTATTATTATTCTGTATATAATAACATTGACAAATAAACATCTCATACATTAGTTTACACACAATACATATATATTTTTTTTTGTCATGGCAATGATTTGAGAACCTTTTGAAGCATTTTTGACATGCATTTAATTGGTACATCTACAGTAATACTAATAAAATCTCATTTTTCCTGAAGATAGTTTGGAATAAAAGCGGAGACTTAAAGAGATGTCTTCTGACACCTACACAATGGCTTGACGGTTACAGAAGGTTCATTAGGGCTGCCTTGTCCTGCCCTATAACATCCTCTGTCCTTACAAAGTTCACCCTCTGATTGGCCAATTAATGTCTTTAACCAATCCAGCGAACCAATTTAGAAGTACTTTCTGAGTTCTTACATTTTCTAATCATCTGGTTGGCCAGAAGATGTCCAAGATGTCAAACAGAGATCAAAAAGTTCAAATCCATAGTGCACAACCAGGTGCACAGTTCCTGTCCTGCTTAGCCACAGCACTGTGTATTTTAGTGTTCTCCCTTACTCAGCTCATCAGCTAACTGATCTTTCCATGTAGATACTGTTGCAAGTTTTATGATATGTTGGCAAAAATTCTATTCAAGCTTGTAGCAAACAGGATTTTAACACAGTACGTCAATTTAGAGTGTTATTCATTTCAAACTCTATATACTTTGTACTCATGTGAAGGTCACAGTGTTACTATCATTAGTGCTACTATCATTAGTGCTACTAATGTTGCTATCAAGCCATATAAATGTTATTCTAGGGGATTTGCCTTATCCTGGTCATACTGGTCATATGGAAAACAGGTCAATGTGCTGCTTCAAGCTATGTCAGTAAAGCCAAAGAGAGAGACAAACAGTAGCTTAGCTAGGCAGCAATGTGAAAACAGCAGAAGCTGATAAACTTTCTACTTAGCCTAGAAATCAGATGTTTATCTCCAAGAACTTTGATGACATGACAAAGATGATCTATCGCCAATCTATCCGAACAGTGTGACACATACAAAATTAATACAATCAGAAATTAATGACATACTTTTATAGATTTTGACCTGAATCAAGTACTACATTTTATTTTGAAGCTTTCCAGAATTATTGTTCTGGAAAGCTTGTGCAAATTCATAGTAGCTCTGAAAAAAACATGTATTTGTTTCCTTATAATTCTGTTTAATTCTGTCATGTGACACACAATTCAAGTGAAAACCGTAATCACAGTAGGAAAGGAACAACAATGCCATGGTCAACATCCAGGCTAATTCCACCCTGTAGTTTAAGGCTACAGAACATCTCGCTGGCAATTACGGACATATAAACGAGATAAAGTGGTTAGCAGCATGTAAGGACTGAACTACACCACGGATCACTCTTAGAAACTAGAGCATGTCTCATTGATAATGAGCAATAGCTCACGGCCTCCCAGGACTGATTCCATATCATTACAGTGATGGGTAAAATGACCATAGTTGTTGAACGTGGTCAATATCAAAGTTAGACCACCATGACATTAGACCATATTGTTAGCTTTACAGACCATGGCTCTGTGGGCACAGCTAACTTCAGGGCCTAATTATACACTCATGATACACCCGTGGAGTGAATGACCAAATAGTGGTCAAATGATTGTGCCATGTGGTCACAGTTTGAGTTGGATATACGCTCAGTGTTTGTCTATGTGTGTGCGTGTGTTTGTGTGTGTTGGTTTACATACATTTTCAGGACATTTTTCTCATTTTCAGAGTAAAACCAAGGGAACCTACAAGCAAAGTGGTCCTGACTTCATAAAATGCTTTTTGTTCGCAAAAGCTTGTTTTATTGTTTAAAACTGAAAGAGTAAAACAGTTTCTTTTTGTTTTACGGAGCTTGAGGTTAGGAGTAGGTTTACAGTTAAAGGTTTACAGTTAAAAATTCATAGTACATATGAATACTTAGATGTAAAGGGCATGTGTATGACCCCATGTCCTGACAAGGTATATAAACAAATCTGTGAGTGTGTGTGTTTGTATTTCTGCTAGCCAGCGAGACGGCGGCAGCTCCAGCTGGCCGAGGGATTGGTCAGTAATACAGGGGGATCTGTCTGCAGACGCGCTCGATTGGTACATCATTATGCTGGGCACAATTCCCCTCACTTTCTCTCTCTCCTACACTGTTCTCTTCCTCCTCCTCGTTGTGTTGCTCTGAGGCTGTTTCTGTTATTGTGCTCGTAATGACCCACCCTCCATTCCCAGCACCCTGAACTGATCTGCCTGAGAGAGAGAGAGGTAGCGTCCATTCTCTCTCCATCATTGTCCAGCTCCTGTTTTCCAGTTCCTGTCAATATTCTGTCTCAGTAATGTTGGTTTATACTGCAGGTCTCTCGCCATCTCACACTTTACCATTCTTAATCCGTCACTCACACTCCTCTCTTTCTTTCTTCTCTTTTATAAACTCTTTCTCTATTCACTCTCTACTATCTCTCACTCCCTTTTCTTCTTCCTTCTCTCTCTCTATCCTATATCTCTCTATTATATCTCTCTCCCTTCTCATTCTCTCCCTTTCTCTACTCACTCTTTCACACTTCTATTTCTTTTTCACCTCCTTTCTCTGTTCATATTATTCTATCATTCTCTTTCTTATTGTCTCTCCCTCACTCCCCCTCTCTATATTCACTTTCTCCTGTCTCTCTTCTTTCTTTCTCTCTCTATCCATTCACTCTTTCTTTCACCTTTCTCTTTCTCGCCACCCCTTGCTCCTTCTATCACTCCACTCTCTCTACCTCCTCTTTCTCTTTTTCTTTTTTTGCTCTCTCCTTCTCTCTCTCTCTCTCTCTATTTCCTTTCTATTCACTCTTCTCCTCTGTCTTTCTCATTTACTTCTCTTTAGCTTTGTGCTCTGTTCCACGGCTGCCCAGTCCTGGCCCTGGAGATCTTCCACCCTGGAAATTTCAGGGTCAACTCACCTGACTCTAATACTCAGATGTGCCTCAAGGTCTTTATCACCTGGATCAGGTGTGTTAGATCAGTGTTGGAGCTGAACTCTGCAGAGTGGTGGATCTCTCTCTCGCTCTCTCTCTCTCTCTCTCTCTCTCTCATAGCTTTCTCTGGCTCTCTACAACTTTCACAGTAAGCTCCAACAATGTGAAGGAGACAAATGTGTGCACATGTGTGCGAGAGAGAGAGAGTGAGCACAGTATGTGTGTGTGCGTGCGTGCGTGTGTGTGTGTGTGTGTGTGTAGCTGTGAAGAATAAGAGATAAAGAACAGTTCTGGAAGTTCTTGACAGAACAAACCCATGACAAGTACAAAGAATGAGTAATAATCACCTCCCTCCTTTTCTCTCTCTCTCTCTTCCTCTTCCCTTTCTCCCTGTCTGTCCCACTCTCTCACTCTCTTTCTCTCCTCTCCATCTCCCTGGACCAACAAAAACCGGGGCGCCAAACTAATGGCAATAATAACTCTTTGAAATGGCTCCCCTCTCCTCCCTGCAGCCCCTTTCCCCTCCCAGGACGGCCATTATCAAACCCTACTCTGCCTCCGGCACTGAAAACTCCCAGGGCTAGGGAGAGAGGAGAGAGAGAGAGAGAGAGAGAGAGAGAGAGAGAGAGAGAGAGAGAGAGAGAGAGAGAGAGAGAGAGAGAGAAAAGTAGAGAGAGAGAAAGAGGGAGAAAGAGAAAGAAAGAGAGAGAGAGAACAGAGGGATGGAATATATCAAACGAGACCCCAGCGCCAGCATCCGTTCATTTCTCCCTCTCTCACCATCTGTCGCTTCTTTCTTTTTCTGTCCTCCTCTCTGTGTCTGAGATGTTTCTGGTCTTTGTTGCGTCTATGTCACGTTTGGGATGTGCTAGTTTCTCGTAATCTGTTGGTTACAGTTGAAAGCCTGCAGGATCTTTTTTTTCCACAACCTTGTCGCAAAGGGCCTTTTATCATTATTGATGTTGTCTGTAATAGCCTATAATCCATTAGTTTTATCTAGTATTGCGTTTCTGATGTCTGCCGGGAGTATTTGCCAGGTGTATTCAGACATAATCATTAAATTTTATGAGCCTACGTTGCCAACATTTGTAAGCATTTATAAGTCGTTAATGAAGATCTGATACTGAGAAAAAAGTTATGATGCAAAATTTCTTCACTGTGACTGGATCAGTCACACGTTGTTTTAAGGTGGCACTATTAACTAGTGTTAAAGCTATCATAACTAATAGACTAACTTAGTTTTATCAGAGGTTTGGTAGTGTAATGTGACGGGATAAATTCATGCTTACTGCAGCGTTAAGATTAGAATTAAATGGATCCAAACAAACAACCAACATAAACTAACTTTCTGTTGATACCAGATAAAAACTGTATTAGGCTAGGAAAGTGAGCCCATCTACTTTTAACACGTCACCTGATAGGACAGAGATCGCTCTGCCTTGTGAGAGGCTCTTCCAGATATTTCATTTCTTACTCCTAATCAGCCCATCATCAAAAATGTTATAGATTACATCAGAATTATTTTGAACTTGAAGATAAAGAGATAAAACTGTAGAGATAAAGTTCCAGTCCATTGCTGTGGTTAGCCTTGTCTCCCGGTGCTGATGTCTTTTAGCCAGTGGTGGACAGTAACTAAGTAAATGTAATTCGTTACTGTACTCAAGTAGTTTTTTCATGTATCTGTACTTTACTGAAGTATTTCCATTTTGGGCAACTTTTTACTTTCACTCCACTATATTTCAAAGTCAAATATCTTACTTTTTACTCCACTACATTATGCGAAATCTCTCATTCCTTTTGGCTTATGTGTGTATAAAAACGTAAAATTTTTCTAAGTCAAAACAAAAGAAGCGTGAAGCGCACACTTTGTTTTGAGCTTGTTTTGACCTGTTGGACATACCTACTGGACATACCTGGGAGTGTCTATTCCTACATAAATGATGGAACTAACCTAACTTTGTGTAAATAGACCACAATATAGAAATATATACACATATGCAGTTGTGACTGGTGCATCTTTTTTCTGAATTTATACAAACATTATTTCATGTTATAGTAAATTTGTTTTTGCTAGTTTATGTTTATGAAAAAAGACCTACAGATGCAATATAGTAAAGGAAAACTCATTTGTGAACCTGTGATTAAAGCAAGTTTTTTATTAGACTTAAACTTACTTAACTAACGTAACTAAGTTGCAAATAAATCTTAAACTGAAACTTTGCTTGTTTGCAAAAAGTTATTTCATGGCCACTTGGTTCTACCTAATGGAAAATTGTTTGCCTTCAGTGTTTTATGCTTATAATAATTTTAATAGATCAGTGATAGACTAATTGATGACATTCTATTAAAAGATTGGTTTACCAAGAGTGACACTAGAGTAAAATGATTATAGGACAATAGAGTCATAATTAATCTTTTAGAACTTTTACTTTCCATACCTAAGTATACTTGAAGGCAAATACTTTTGTACTTTTACTCAAGTGGAGGTCTAAAGGGAGAACTTTTACTTTTACTGGAGTAATATTTTACCTTGGGTATCTCTACTTTAACTCAAGTACATGATTTGTACTTCGTCCACCACCGCTTTTAGCAGGGTTGGTTATTACGTCACTGTGAGGTCGATTGGAATAGGACTACTTTTACTGAAGGAGCTCCAAATTTGAAGACGTATTGGAGGTAATTCACTCTGAAATTATTACTTAGCAGACTTAAAAACTATTAACATTGTGACTGTTTTCTAGCTAATTTTAAATACGCAGAGTCAAGGCCTGAAAGGACACCATACGTCAAGGGAGGTTGTTACCTTGTCAGGGCAAATTTGATTAAGTTCTCCGTTACATTATTTATTTTTATTTAGAATGTTGAACAAAATGAACAAATTACAAATACTCCTTAATTTGTTCATTTGTTTTTCTGCTCATCTTTATTTATACTGCACTTTTCATTGTTTGTTACAAAATGTAAAGATGCTTTTATTTTTGATCGGATTCAGTGGATATAAAGAAGCACAACATAAATGTCAGGACAAAACCTTGTGTCTCCGTTTTTGTTGTTCTTTATTTTATTATGTAATTTGAGAATGAGTTCAGTCAGCTGCTCTTTACATTGTGTGTACATTTCATGATGAATGTATCAACAGAAATGGCCAAAAATAACTTACTTATCTTACATACTGTAACTTACAATACGTTACATTAAAGCTTAATAAGGTTTGGTACATTTTTGGGAGACAAGGTGTCATTCAGGAAAGTGATGATATGTTGTCATGTATATGAGGATCATCACTGGTCTAAGGGGTTTTACCTGGGTTTCTGGTGTTGGTACGGCCCGTCTGGTCAGGCTTGGCAGACTTCGGAGGCAATCCGTAGGGATCTGTGGAAAAAAGACAATGAGAGACTTTTGTTGTAAATTTCTAAATTTGGCCAGTCTGACCCACAACCAGAGCCCAATCAGACTCAAAGCTATCCACAATACTGGAAAAACTTCTTCACAAGCTCTCTGTAATCATCTGAAGACTGAGGGAGGCAATGCTTATGAAGACTGAGCCAATCTGACTCGGCCAATCAGATCAGTTCAGCCACAGGCCTCTCCAGCTTATGGGGCACTGCTGCTGTTGCTGTTGTGGGTTTTTCTGTTTTTCAGCATGACATGTCCCTCTGTGTGTGTGTGTGTGTGTGTGTGTGTTGTCTATCTCATCAGAAATCTGCACCAGGCGAAGCCGCTTTTATTTAGATGACAAACAAAACAGACGTGACCTTTCAGCCACAAAGCAGATAAACAAACATAGAGAGAGTAAGAAAGAGACAGAAAGAGAGAGAGAGGGGGAGATGGAATGAATATTTTGAAGAAATGTGCAATGCTCATAATGTCAAAAATCGATAGAGAATTCATGGAAGCTGAAGTACAGAAGTGGGTTATAGAATATGCTGCAGTGAGGAATATGAAAAGAGGAAATTGATAGAGGGAGCAATGAGCAGAGAGGGAGAAAGAGAGAGAGAAAGAGAAAGAGAGAATTCTAATGTTTACTTTCGTGAGCTGTGAAGATTTGCTCTAACTGAAGCAAAGTGGACAGTAAATAGGGGTGTAACGATTCACAAAATCCAGAATGATAGACTTCAGAATTCAGATTGACAGGATGCAGGGATGTCTTGATTCAGTACGTTTTTCAACACAACAAATATAAAAATCAGCTGAAAATGTGCCTCATGTTAATATGGTAACTTTTCACTTTATTAGAGCATTCAGCATTATAAAAGTACAGTTACATTTATTCTGTTACACATACTCAAGTTAAATGTTGATAAAATTGTAGTTTCCAGAGCATTTTCAAAGGATATTTTTACTTCTACACATTTTTTGTGAGGTATAAAGAATAAACTTTTTAATTAATTACATTCAAGTAAATTTCTTTTGGCATTTAATTCCATTATGTTACACTGTTACTGCTTTGTGATTAGTTACACCTCCAACTTTCAGAGCTTTAGCATTTCATTTTAGACCAGAGGTCAGCAACCCAAATATCAAGAAGAGCCATTTTGTCCTTTCAACAAAAATCAAACCATCTTTGGAACCACAACATTTATGTCTATTTTATTAAGGTAATGTTTTACCATCTTGGCTAAAAATATTATTAATATGTGCTAGCTAACATCCTAGTATAGACTAAAAAAATCATATAAGTTAAACGAAAACACAGACTTACTTTGCTCTGCTTTAAGCTTTAGCTCAGCTATAGCCACTTTTCCCGCATCTCCAGCAGGAAACATTTCCTCAAAAGTAGAATAGTTTCTTGTAAAATTGCTTTCAACATTCGACTTACAATTACAAGGCTGAAGTCAGCTTCTCGTTCGCCAGCTTCTTATTCAAAATTTCCTGTTCCACCTTAAATGGTGCCCGAGGTGCCAGAAAGCAATTGCTGCACCTTTTAAGGTGGAACGGGACAATTTGAACGCGAGACTGACTGCAGCTTTACTGTGACTTTAAGTGCTTGACAGTTTCTCACAGATTAAACGTACCCAGAAACCAGCTGAGTGCATATAAATGCAAACAAGTCTGTGTCCAAATTATCAACATTCGTCTTAAATCTTTCTCTTTGCCTTTTCGTTAGCTACCAGCTAGGTGATATTGTTGTCTTTGTTGCTATGGTGACCAGCAGTTTGCACACCAACCTTCAGGGTTAAAGGGTGAATTAGCAGTTAGAAATTAACTCCAGCATTTAGGACTATTTATTGTTAAAGCTGTGTTAGAATGATCAGCAGAGCTTTATTTTACAAAAGAGGATTATTTTATTTTCAACTAAAAATCAGATTCTGCTGCAACAGGGCATTAAAAGAGCCACAGCCGACCCCTGTTTTAAGCCAAAATGATTCAAAAAGAGAAGAAAAACACCTAACAAACATATGCTGATTGATGCTGGATGTGTAACTGCAGCTATATAAGTTACTCAGTATTTAAGCAGTAACTGCTCTCAGTATCGCAGTGCAACCTGAACAGCTCATCCTGACTGCTACAGTTGATGATATTCCAACAATACTCTACACTCTAAACACACACAGTGTGTGTCTGCGTGGTGTACTGTCATGGCTAGTGTACTATGTCAACATGACTGCGGTCAACTATAGTTAACTGAACTCTGTAATGGAGACTACCAATGTGTGAGTGAATTTGAGACAAAAATGCAAAAATATGCAAACGGTCATGCATGTATGCATATGCACAGAGTGGTAACAGTCGTCCAAAAACTGTTATTCTGATATGTTTACGAGTTAAGCCCAACATCCGTTACTGTTTTACAGAGACGAGGCCTTGTGGATTTTATCTTCTGTTTGGGTCAGGCTCTTGTGTGTTTGTGCTTGCCAGTGACCGTGAATGTGTGTATTTGTGTGTGTGTGTGTTTATGTGTACTCACTTTGTCCCACTTTGAGCACCACCTTCATGCCCTGTGTGGCACACACTCCTCCTCTCATGCTTTCCAGACCCTGCCGTGTGCCATCCGACGTAGCTGAGGAAGAGAAGCAGACATATTATTATGTATATATTAATGTTAAATAACAACCACACACACAAATATGCCCATTGTTCTTCCAATGAATCACACACAAAATCAAATGAGTTATTATTGCTGTTTTGATATATATTTTGTATCATATTACATTATTTATGTGTAATTATATAAATAATTACACAATTAGTTAGAATTGGATTCACATTCCTATTCACATGCTTTATTGAAAGGTCACACTTCAGACATGAAAAAAGTGAAAAAGTGACCAAAACATGGCAAAAATGTCTGTCCACCCTTTACATTAACAAAATGTAAAGGCTATTTCTTCTTTCCGTGAAAACAAGAGTGTGAGCACAACAGTACCCTTATTCATTTCACAGTGGCAATATGCAACTTTTTTTTCTCCATACAGATACTGAAACCTTGAGTGTCAGATGATACTGATGCAATTCGATATGTTTTTTCCTTTAAAAACTGCTGTGCTTTCAAATAAGCTATTTTACATGAAAGCTTAAGATACTATTAACTTAACATGGTAATCTATACATGTGGAAAAAGTACAGATAAACTCTCTAAGAGAAAATGTGAGCACTGTGTCAAAATCTTACTCAGTTAGAAGTGGAAGCATGGAGCCAAAAACACACGAGTGAAAGTAAAGACATATATACATTAAAACATGCTGAAGTATATATAAAAGTAAGAAGTACATGTTTTAACAAATGAATGTAAAGTTTTCTTTGTTTGGTGTTGTGTGATGCAATGGTGTGAGGTGAAACCACTAATCGGTGGTACTAGTCCTTGAACAAAGCCAAATAAGCACATTTAGCACATTTTATAAAGATACAAATTAGGCTGGATGTTTCCATACTAATTTGAGTTTGATTGGCTAGACAAGAATATCCTGGCCTCTAGATTTGTAACAACTGCTTTTAAGGTCTAAATGAAAATGTAAAAAGTAAAACTATTTTCTTTTTTCTTGGTTATGTATTTGAGTAAAAGTGAAGAGTTTCATTCCAAAATGCTGCAAATCCATTCTTAACAATTTTGGATATAATGGGTTTTAGGAAAGAATAACAGCTCACATATAATGGAGAACACCTTTCCATTTCAAGTATTATTAAAAAATATAGCATTGATATTTCTTGTATGGGTAAAGTCCACTCTTAACAACGTGTATAAGAGAAAAGAAAATTTCTGAAAGTGGTCTATAAAACATTTTGCAAGGAATCCCTTTAAGTATTCAATTTAATAATTCCTGAGTAAAGTACAAATCTTCCAAAATCATACTTGAGCATAGAACAAATACAATCAAAAGTGTTTTCCACACTGACCATCAAACATATCACTTACAGTGCAGATGTGTGATGAATCAGACTATGGTAAAAGGAAGTACTATTCTAGTATAGTACTTAGCTAGATACTCATTATTGGGTTAACATTAGGCTACATGTGGCTACCGTTGTGTGTGTGTGTGAGCTATTTTTGCTTTTTGGTATGTTGCATTGTGAACAGTTCTGGGATATTTCAGGCTAGATTTGTTACAGAAATGGACTGGGTTCTTTCTATTCCTCTGCAAGCTAGTATTTTCTGAGAGTTTCAGCCTCATACTGATACTGGGTACTGGAATGGTGTCTATTGTAATTCAGATCACAGTAAAATTTCTCCTTTTAGATGCATTTTCTCTGCTTGATTCAATGAGGGAGAAGAGAAAAAAATAATTAAACAAAATGTAGACGTATATGTTGTGCGCACTTATTTACATGAACTCATAAGTTTACACACACACACCAAAGCACACACATGCAGTGCGTTTTCTCTGGTTGTGATGACACAGGCCTCTTTCACACACTGTCGTTCTACTGCAGAGGGTCACTTTTCTCAGGCACACATTTAAGATTCACACAGTGAGAAATGGCCCAGCTCTAACACGTCCTCATTTACAGCCTCTCTGGAGGACATTTAACACCATAATGCATTCTCCCTGGACTGTAAGCCATACACACACACACTGGCCTGGTCAGTGAAGTGGCTGAAAAAAAGGGAGCTGAAGTGGGCCAGGGTGGGCCAGACATGGACGGGAGCCGATCACACCTGGCCCAGGAGAGCCACAGGTGGTCAAGAGAAGGGCTAAAGTTAGTCTGGGCCAGACCAGGGCTTACTGACAGTCAGAAAAGGACAGCCTGCCCTTGGTAACACAGCCTGCACATCAATGAGCGAGAGAGGGACTGTGTGTGTGTGTGTGTGTGTGTGGAGAGAGAGAGAGAGAGAAATGACTTCATATAAGCATGAACCTAGCTCTTATTTACTGAGCGATAGAGATATGGAGAATGAAATGAGAGGGATGAAAGGTGAGGCGCACTTTCACCGCCTCTCTCTCTCTCTCTCTCTCTCTCTCTCTCTATCAAGGAGTCTCAAGGGGAAATTCCTACTTTTTTCTGTCATTTAGAGAGAAATCGTAAATCGCCCCTTTCTCCAGTGCAGCTAAAGGCTATAGAATAACATCTCATCCAGAGAAAGGGGCCGGAGGAGTGTGAAAAAACAGGCTTTCACACCTCTCTCTCTGTCTTTCTCCCTCACTCTCTCACTCATTCTCTCCATCTATCACACTGGCCAATGAACTTCGCAATGTGTGAACGCAGGGGAGCAAAAAAGAGTGAGGGCATCCAGAGTCCTAGGCACACACACGCACACACACATGCACACATGCTTAGAAAGACACGATTAAAAGAATTTCAGAAAGGGTGAAAGAGAGAACACATAAAGAAGGATATATAGAGGGACAAATAGGGGAATGTATGAATTATGGCTGTCACTACATGTACCATTTATTTTAACAGGTAATCAAATGTTTTTTTTAAAAAAATGCTGAAAGGATTTAACTGGACTATACCAAACCATCTACAAGCCTTCCAAAGATTAAAAATATTTAAATAAAATATAAACAAGGAAACCTGTAAAAAGACAGTATATAAAAATGCTGTATGGCAAAATACATCTAAATGAGTTTGTCCAAAAGGCTCTGTTCGTTACTACAAGAGAGAAACAGTAGCAGAATGTAAAAAATTATTATTATGCAAACTTCCAATCAACCAACCAGATTTCTGATTGTTTGAAAAAAGCTCACAGAAAAAAAATACAAAATATAAGGTCATTGTATGCAAAGGCACTGTTTTCATTGTCATGACTTAAATAAATAAAAGAGACTGACAAAGCTCTCCTTAGATCATGACAAATTTTTCTATCACCATGGCAATGTTTACACGGCTGCACGCCACCATCCGTCACGCAAACGGCACCAAAGGCGCCAATATGTAAACACAGCATCAGCCTGCACCACTATCTCTACTGATGATGGAAACTTAGCTATGTAAATTGTAAATTAGGTGCAGACACCACTATCATAAAACCACAAACAGTTCACGATGACACCACTATACCCTGTCTACCATGACCAAACCCCACCACAACAACAAGACACTAATTAGCGCCATGCTACTTTAATTTACTGCACACGGACTCTCACAGTCCACTTTATTAGAAACACCTATTTTACAGGGTCACTTTATACAGGTTAAATTACTGTAGCCCATTTGCTGCTGTATAATTTCTTAGTCACCTTCTACCCTTCTCAACACTGCTCAGTTTTTGACCACTGTTGACCAAATGCTATCTGGGTGGCAGATCATTCTCAGCAAGGCAGTGATACTGACATGGTACTTAAATGATTTAAAATACTGAAAGAATAAGCATTTTCTTTTCTAATTCAGGCATAATTTAGTGACTTTTCAGTGTCTCAGAAGTGTGTTAAGCGTCTGCTGTCTGTTGCCTAAAAGATCGCAAAAAACACAAACACATTTTCCCCTAAACACAGACACATCAATCATTTGACCGTTACCTTTTTTAGCTTTGGTCACCATTAGCCAATGGCCATGGCTGAGACAAGCCAATGTCATTAACGCATTAACTTTATTTTTAAATGCTGCACTGATTTAGAGAGAAGAAAATGGTTAAGACTGCTAACAAGATTCATGTGATGAATAAAGAGCTTTAAGACGGCAGAGCGTACAGCACAGCATACAGTGTAATGTACAGTGAGGCTCAGTCTTACATAAGTGCTTTTGTTCCCAGATCGACTGTGACAGCCACAGCACATGCCAAGATTCTACGGCTTTAATATCGACTTTTGAGAATAGAAATGAAAGAAATAGGAGGAGGAAAATGATGGAAAGAGAACGACATAAAGAGAGAGAGAGCATGAGGAAAAGACACTGATTGTCTTTGACAAGCTGTTGCTGACATGAGTGAGATGGGAGACGATAGGAAGTGATCGAAAGAGCAAACGCGTGAGGGAAGGAGAGAAAAGAGAGACGCAGCAAAGAGAGGCGAGAGGCGAGGAGGGGGAGAGAGAGAGAAAAAACAGGAAAAAATACAGAGAGAGGAAAACAGACTGACTCCCGGCACTGGTTATTTGTGGAAAGACAAAAACTGCACTTGGAGCATAAAACAGAAAAAACAACAAAAAGAAAAAGAAAGAAAATACAGAGAGGGCGAAACAACAGAACGATAAAATAGAGAGACAATGTAGACAAGCAGTGGCTTGTTTCTAGTGTTTCTTCAGGAAAAAATTAAGAGAGAGAGAGAAAGAGATAAAGGAAGTGAGGGGAGGAAGAGGCAGACAAGGACTTGGGCAGAGATGAGAGGAGAGAGGGAGACGGAGGGAGGGAGGAGAGGATGAGTAATTGAGATGATGATGAGCAGTGATGGGGGATGGAGAGAAAACGGGAGGACAGCAGCGGCTCCAGTGGAACGTCTCTGTCCCTCTAACCACCCCTAAAAAAAGGGAAAAAAAGAAAAGAAAGGAAAGCGAGGAGGAGGAGAGGAGGAGAGGAGGGGAGTGCAAAGAAGGGAAAAGCTGCCTTAATGAAATATCAGCACAGTCAGCTTCACTTACTGAGCACACTGCAACCAGCCCAGCCAAACTCACTCAGACAAGTGTG